AAAGGTAATCAAATATTTTATTAATTAAAGAATAATACACAGGTAGTGTATCATTACATTAAACCAGAAAGAAACAACATAAAATTAGGTAGCCCATCTATATGACTAGTAGCCGCAGCATTAAACCAATTATACAAGGTCAAATAAAACAATTCCCTAATTTGCTCTAATATCCGTGATTGATCATCAAAACAGTGATTGTTTCTCTCTCCACAAACTCCAAACAATGCAGCCCGAAATAAGGTTCTATACAAGCTTGCTATCCTTATCTCGAAACTTTCTCCTCCATGCCTTTAACACGTCTTCCATAAGCCTCGGCAACACCCAGTCCATGTGTTGAGACACCAGAATATCATTCTACAGCAAACGAGCTGCATCACAATGAAGGAATAGGTGATCAATCATCTCTCCATCCTTCCTACACATATAACACTATTCTGTAACATAAAAACCCCTTTTTCGAAGATTATCCACAGTTAATAATTGTCCCCTAACAACCGTCCAAAGTAAAAATGTCACCCTTGGAGGCAATTTACATTTTCATACCACCTTCCAAGGAAATGGACTCTCCACAGATCCCAATAAGGATCTAAAATAAGTGTCGACTGAAAATGTACCGTTCCGTGTCAACCTACCGTTTCGATCACCCTCACCATTCCTCATGTGCACCTCATACAAAGTTGTCAGGAGCAGTGCATAATCATCCACTTCCCAGTTTTGCAAACCCTGCCCAAAAACGATGTTCCAACTAGGTAATCTGTTATGTATATCTAACACTTCATTCACCATAGTAGTCGGCTCAACGGCAATACGATACAGAGAGGGAAAACCCTCCCTAAGCGGATGTTCTCCACACCAACGATCATCCCAAAAACTAATAGTATTACCATTCCCCACCACAAAATTCAATCTATCCCGAAAATCGCTCCACACTCGCCTAATATACCGCCACAAACTCACCCCATAGGAACCACGACCCTCGACTGAGCATCATCCCCCCTCCATAACACCATATTTGCCCTTATAATTTCTCTCCAAAAACTCTCCCTCTCCACTCTGAATCGCCCAACCACTTGCCCTACAAAGCCTTATTAAACAAAACAAGACTCCTCAATCCAAGACCCTCCACCTTTATGGGAGAACAAACTGCACCCCAGTTAACCAAATGTAATTTCCTCTCCTCCCCCAATCCTCCCAAGAGGAATTCTCTTTGGATCATCTCTAACCTTTTTGTCTCTGCAATAGGAATAGGAAACAATGACAAGAAATAAGTCGGGAGATTCGACAAGGTGGACTTAATAAGAGTAAGACGACCACCCTTTGAGAGATACATACGCTTCCACCCTGCTAGCCTTCTCTCTACTCTTTCCACAATATTGTTCCAAATATGTATACTTTTAAAACGTGCTCCCCGACAAGGACGGGAACAGCCTTCAGGCTTTACCTGTTATCTACACATTCTGTTAAGGCTACCCACTTCGGTGGATCACTAATATAAAAATTCATTTTTAACCAAACATTCTTCTAATATTATAATTTTACAAGTAAACCTAAAACTTTTTCCTACTTTTTTAATCACACATTCTCCAAATAATCATTATTACATAATCCATTCTTTCAAAAAATGGGACTTAAACACACCCTTGGACCATCTCCAATGAGGAACACCAAATTTGGTGTAATTTTACATCAAATTTGGTGTAACATCTCCAATGGTTACACAAATTTTACACCAAACACCTCTCGAATGGTTACACCAAATTTAGTGTATAAGTTACACCAACTTTTATTGGAGATGGTCTTACATCAAATTTTATTTTGAATCAAGGTTTAAAAAGGCGAAACTAAGTACTAAGGCAGTTTTTCTTTATGAGGCGAGGTGTAAACCTCGAGACGGATTGAGACGTAAGCCTCACAAAAAACAAAAAATCTAAGTAAAAAAATTATAAAATAATACAAAAAAACCAAAGTTAGAGCATATAGTAAATAGGATATATAGCCATTAGCATATTGAGATATAGTCCACCTAAAGAAAGAAGATGTTTAGCAAAAAAAAAAAAGCATTTCAGAAGTTAGAAATCACTCCATTTGCAATGGAAAAAAAAGCAGCTTAATCTAAAAAAAAAAATCTAATAGTCTACATTATCATCACTATTACTACATCGTTAATGGAATCATCATCATATTTAATTTCCCCATCATCTTCCTCTTCGCTACTCTCAATTTCTACAAAAAGCAGTAGTGAGGCACGCGCCTCAGATTTAGAGGAGTGAGCTTCATATTTTTAGTCTCAAAAATACCGCTTCGAGACATACTGCATGCGCCTCACAGCGCACCTCACTACCGCCTTTTTAAACCATGTTTTGAATTATTTAATTACAAATTATATTATTACAAAAATCGTTAAATTAAAAATAAAATGTAACGAACTAAAATATTGCATTTATTAATAAATTGAAAAAACATTAAACCTAATATCGCAATTAAACCCTTGTTTGAGCCCCATTTTTTGAAAAAAAAAATGCATTCTTGAATAGTGTTTTGACTCATTTTAACAACACATTTTTCTATAAAATAATATTCAACGCAAATCCATAATTTTTTCTTTTTTTTTTTTAACCACACATTTCCCATCAATTTGTTATAGTTGACTATCTAACTTGTGCACTAACGAAGTATTGATCTTTCATAAATATATACTATTTTACTATTGGAATAATTCAGCAGTTTCATTTTACATAGTTGAGTTCACAAAATATAATCCTCCAATCACCCTCGTGTAATATATGAATAAACAAAAAACATTTATCATAGTTCGAAATATTAACTTATAAATAGAGAGAGAGAGAGAGAGAGTATCTGCTTACATGTAAAATAATTGTGCACCCAAACATCCGAAGAAAGCAAAAAAGAAGCTTTTTGGCTACTTTTTTCCGCATAAATACAGGCGATATATACACAATATAAAGCTTGTTACCTTGGAAACGTAGCGGTGAGGCCAGCGCTGGGCCGCTTCTTCCTTGGGAACCGGATCGCCAATGAACCGGCACTCCCCTTCCCCCTCTTTCCGTTTCTTACTCCTCGGATTCTTTTTCTTGTCAGGAGCAGGCAATGTATTCGTAGTCTCATTCTCCGAAACCATCTTAACTTCCTCTTCTTCAGCAAAATCCATAGCCGAACCGCATACATAACCAGATCCAGATCCAGATTCCGAACCCTCCACCATGCCCGAGGCTTGTCTTTTGACACTCTTCCTCCCCTCTGCCGACTCATCCTTGACCATTGTTGTGGCCTTCCTCTTACTCGGCATCGAATAGAGCTGTTTTCACAACAAATTAAGATTTATTTCCCAAGATAAAGTTAGCTTGTTAAACTTTGCAAGAGGTTTTTGACCCTCCTTGTCTCCACCTGCTCGAGGAAGAGGTGGGATTCCTTGATGTTAAGAAGTCAAGGCAGTCGAACAAGGCCAAGTGTGGCAATTTGTGTGTTTAGAATGTAGATCTGTGTGTTTTCTGGAGAGAGAGGGAGGGTTTCTGCCTTTTTGGGAGTTTTTGTGGTAGAAGGGTTTTACTTCCTTTATCATCTACGGGGTTTTAAGAGTTAGGTCCGAAAATTTTGAATAGAGACCGAAAGAGCGGGAAACCGGAATCGTGGGGTTATGAAGTGGATTTGACAATGGGCCTTGAAATCCGGGAAAGTGATCGTTAGGTATTACGGGATTAACGGTTATGTTACCAAAATTATTGTTTTTGATTTATCTTTAACGCAAGTATGTGGAACATGTCAAATTCAGTCCCTGTTTGATTCTTTTTCCTTTATTTTAATTTATTTTTCATACTCATTTTTAATCACACATTTATACAATAAAATAATTTACACGTAAAATAAAAACTTTTCTTTACTTTTTTGTCAACACATTCTCCAAAAAATAATATTAAAAACTTTATTTTTTTAAATTTTAAGGGCGCCAAACAAGGGCTCACAGTATAGACATTAATAAAAGAGATAAACATATTTTTTTTATAATGAAAGGTTGAACGAATTAGAGTTCTCGAAAATTTCTATTTTATCACATATAGGATGAAGTAGCGTATTACGAGTCTTTTATGTAAGGTTAGATGAATTAGAGTTCTTGAAAATTTCTACTTCATCACACATTACTACATCGCCTTCCTTGCGAATAGAAATTAAACATGTGATATACACATTGTTGATTCAAAAGTCGAATACCTAAAATTGACGACATTGAAGAACTCCCGATGAAATTTTATTAGTTCCAATAAAACCCCTTCTGCAATAAGTAGTGGTTATTTCGTTGAGGGTAAATTAACGTTAGGCTCCCCAATCTTTCACATCGTATAGTTATAAATCATTAACTTTCAAAAGTGAGGTTTTGGATCCCTAATCCATTTGAATATGTGAATTTTGTCCTCGCGTGACAAAAATCATCAATTTGGACATTTAAATTGCAGTCGACTTTCATTTAAATTGGAGACAAATGAGTGATTTGACTGTGTTTACCCTAAATTTGTAAGTCATGGGAAAGTCACGATAAACTGTCACAATTACCTCTTCACCAAAGACGAGGCAATCCCAATAAACGTCTTCTTCAAAGTTGGGATAGCAATTAACCAAGAAATTTTTCAAAACTTTTATGGTCTACAAGATTCCGGTGCTCATATTTGTCCTTATCTTTTCAGTTATAACAAAATTACACTAGATTTGTAGGATTCCAGCACTAGTTGCCAATGCTCCAATGGTATTTTTTCCTTCCAACAGCACCATTTTACCCCTTGGCCTTCCACTGGAATATGTTATATAGGGGTGGGGGATTTTAATTGGAACTAAACCTTCCAAACCGGAATTGAAGGTTTCAATATGGTTTCCCAAAAAAATAAATTAGAAAATAGAATCGAGAACAGATCGGTCCATGTTCAGGCTTTGAAAATGAATATCTTTTTGTAAGTTTTTGAGTGTGTTTGGTAGGAATTTTTTGGGGAAAAATTGATTTTTGAATAGTGAAATAATGGGAAATGTGTGGTTGAAAAAGAAGAAAAAACATTGATGTGATGGAAAATATTATTTTATTGAAGAATGTGTGATTGAAAATGAGAATTGATTTACTGTAGAAATTGAGAATCTGTACCAAACAGGCACTTTATTTTTTAAAATTTATTTACCCTGATCTAATGTCCCGACCCAACAAGTAGCAAGTAGCAGGTTTGCTAGGTCCTACCAATCAGATTCATTCATAATAAATACATCAATTACTTTCCAAAACAAAGTGAATCGTATCACTTTCGTTCACATTCACTCTTGACTGCATTGTATACTTCGCACGTCCCATAAACCCTTCTTGAGATGTCACGTAGAGTTACAACCAAAATTGAATGCTATTTGGGGACATATTTATAGTGGACTAAAAAGGTGTTGAAATATGTATTAGACGACATATTTGATTTCTTTTATTTCCTCTAGATGCTGAAAAGATATTTTGTATTTCCAATTCACAATTTTCTTACAAAAAAACGTTATAAGTAGAATTGAATCCGAAACGGAATCAATAGTTACGATTCAAGTTTGATTCCAGAAATTGCGTGAAATCGTCTAATTCCATTTATGAAAATATTCGAAGTAACATGGATGGTTTCAAGTATTGAAATACCCGGTCCACCTCTATGCCCATATCTATATTTATAGCTCTTTTACATCGCAATGAAATGATGGCACAACCTCTTCCACTACCTACTTCTCTTGTACATCTTTATCGATCTCAGTGTATCGATAGTGGGTGGCATGTAATAATCGTCACTTGAATCACTATCTATTCAACTCACAATTTTGAAAAACATGAAAAGGTTATTGTTGATGACAAAGTCCTCTTTTGTTGCCAATAACACAGGCGTCATGCCATCGCATTGCTGTAGTAGCCAATCCACATCTTATGCTAGCACCTCTATCTATTACATCTCCGTCACGTAGCATCATTGCTTCCATCAAAGTTTTCACGAATATCATGTTACAAGTGAGGTTTTACACTAAATTGACGCAACATAAGGAATGGGAACGAAAGATCAACATCAAATAACTATTGAATATATGGATACCCAAACTTCGAAGTCGATTCCTAATTCATTGAATGGAAAATCGAATAATTAACATAGACAACAACAAGAAACTATCAATGAAAGTGTATTATCTATTCCAAAGTTTTGAGTAGTCGTAAAATTAGCATCTCTCTAGATTAGTTCTTTTGTCATCGTTCCTTCCTCTACATCAAGGTATAATTCAGTGTTCTAAAATGAGTAATACATTACGATGCGTCGAAGTCGAGAATCAAGAATCATAAGTTTAAGCGTATCAATGCGGAGAATAGGCGTCATAATCCATGTTCTAAAAAGCGCCAAAATGCGCCGCCTAGGCGCGACGCGGATCGAAAAAGCGTCGAATTCGGGAAATGTGCGAAAAATGCGTTTTCCATCTAAAAGGCGCGCCTAGGCAGGATAATGCGCGCCTAGGCATGCATTATCCAGCCTAATCCCTTTTTAAATTTTTTTTTTATGATATATTAAAAAATCTATTTTTTTATATAAAAATATATTTAATAACTTAAAAATACGAAACGCATTATGACGCTTATTCTTCGCATTGACACGCCTAAACTTGTGATTCTTGATTCTCGGCCTCGACGCATCGCAACGCATTACGCATTTTAGAACACTGGTCATAATGCGTTTCGTACTTTTAATATTATTTTAATATGATAAATAGATTTTTATATTAAAATTTTTTTTTT